GTGCCTGCCTGGCTTTGGCGGCCCCAAGTGTGAGAAGCTGCTCAGCGTCAACTTTGTGGACCGTGACACGTACCTGCAGTTCACCGACCTGCAGGACTGGCCCCGGGCCAATATCACCCTGCAGGTGAGGGCTGGGAGGGGATGTGGGGGCATAGGGGGTGGCATTGGGGGTCCTGCCCCAGGGATGTGGGCTTCCACCTTTCCCCCTGCCAGGTCTCCACGGCTGAAGGCAACGGCATCCTGCTGTACAACGGTGACAGCGACCACATGGCCGTGGAGCTGTACCAGGGCCACGTCACGTCAGGGTCAGCTATGACCCTGGCACCCACCCCAGCTCAGCCATCTACAGGTACCTGCCACCTCTTCCCCGCTTGCTGGGGACCATCACCCCCATTGGGGGATCCCCAGTGACCCAGCCCTCCCTACCAGTGCCGAGACCATCAACGATGGGCAGTTCCACACCGTGGAGCTGGTGACCTTCGACCAGATGGTGAACCTCTCCATCGATGGCGGCAGCCCCATGACCATGGACAACTCGGGCAAGCACTACACTCTGAACAGCGAGGCCCCCCTCTACGTGGGAGGTAGGACAGGGGCCAGAGGGGTGACAGGGGGCACCTGGGCACACTGACAGCCCTGTTCTCCCCAGGGATGCCTGTGGATGTCAACTCGGCTGCCTTCCGCCTCTGGCAGCTCCTCAACGGCACCAGCTTCCACGGGTGCACTCTACATCAACAACGAGCTGCAGGACTTCACCAAGACACGGATGACGCCAGGGGTGGTGCCAGGCTGCGAGCCCTGCCGCAAGCTCTACTGCCTGCATGGCATCTGCCAGCCTGCCGGTGCCCAGGGCCCCATCTGCCACTGCGAGCCCGGCTGGGACGGGCCCCACTGTGACCAGCCCCACGGAGGCCCCTGCCAGGGGCACAAGTGAGTGCCCCCGCCCTGTTGGGAATGGCCTTGCCCCCATTGGCTGCCCTGCAATGACCCATCAGTCCCATTGGCTGTGCTGAAGCAACAGCACCGACCCATTGGCTGCCCTACAGTGACCCACCTGCCTCGTTGGGTCTTTGGCTACCCCACATCATTGGCTGCCCCACCGCAACTTTCCCACT